ACTTTTTGAGATCAAACAAAAGAAAATGGTCTCTTGGGTCTTCCTGGACCATTCTGGATTCAGAAGTTTCAATTTCAGTGCTGTTCTCAGCCATGAGTCCTGCATTAAGCAATAATACTGATGAAACTCCTCAGCATAAGAGTAGGACTCCTTTGTTTACACCAGTAAACACTCCTGATCTGGCTGTAAGTAAATTACCTCTTTTTTTAGAAGACAGCTAACAGTAATGCACACAATTAATTGTACAGCACATTTTAATTTAACATGAACTGGACAATATCACCTAATGTGCCCAGTGCGACCCACTTCAAGTACAGATTCCAATTATTACATGAGAACTAAGACTTTATGACATTTCCTACAAATGCTAATTAGCTGGTAGGTTAGGGCCCTCAGTCATGTAGCACTTCATCAATCACAAAACTTAAACTATTAAAGATGGAAACTGTAACATTTTACATGAAAAGTTATTTTGCAAGTCAAAGTACAATATTATATTAGCCCCCTTTACCCGGTGTTCTTTTACGATAGTCCCCACAAAAGAATTTCCACAAGCTGTTGTCCTAATATGATCCAGGTCTACATCCTCTATGCTGTTCTTGTCTCAACAGCTACTGTTTTCAACACTGTGACACATACTTCAGTGTATATAATTGGTGGGTTTAAATATCTGCAGATTTCTGGAGGACAAAACACACCAGTTAGAGCCACTGAATGAAAGAAAATTTGGGAGCAAAATGGAACATGAAAGAAGCATCATCCAGTTCAGCACTTCTACCCTTCAGCCTACAATTCAGCCATGTTCACAGAACTTGCACATTCTGGTAAAAAATACATAAAGATTTCTGAGGTCTGCCCCTCTGCATGCTAAACTGACAGATATGAGGTGTAAGACTAGCTTTGCCAGGTTAAACAAGGCTATTAAAACAGCATACCCAACTTTACTGGCACTAAAATGGAACAGTGGTGCCAAAGATTCTAAAAGAAAGAAATATTAAGTAATATTGCACCTCTGACATTGACATAAGTTTATTATTACTCCATGCCAATCTACCTTGATCCAAATCCTCTAAACGTATGCTGTTCCAGTGCTGGGCCTCCTTTAAGCATGCAAATTATACTGAATAATGTAGCAGTTTTTCAACTTGGTCAAAAATTACACCAAAATCACTCCTTGGAGGGACAATGCACCATTAGCTCCTTATCTAGCCCATTACTTTTCTCTGCACCATGTTGCCTTCTGTGTGTTCCTATGCCACCTTTTGGGACTCATCACAGCTGTTGTGTTTTTGCTTCTTCCATACTTTTGGTAGGGAGTCAACAACAGAACCTGCCCTGTCCTCCAAGCATAACAGCTACCAGAAAGGAGAAAGAAGAGCTCCAATTTTGAAAGGGAGTTTTTCAGGGTTTTGTTTAGTCTCCTTTGTATTTTTCACCCAGCAAATAACAGTACTGTACATAAGAGAAAGACTATAGATTGGAAATTGCATATTTCCAAGTTACATATTCCTTCCTCCTCAGTTTCAGGTTACTACTGACAGTAATATTTTTCAGCACTATATACAAATTCTTCCTCCTTCAATTACTTGAATACAACCATGAAAGCAAATATTATTTTAGGCTGAGTGAAGTACTTCAGGCTGAGTGGAGAGAGATGTAGCCATCTATCTTGCATCAACAACTGAAGGCACTAACATAACTGGTTATTCACAAGTCCTTATATCAAAAATATATAAAAAATGCAAAGACCCTGCATAGAAAGAAGAAAATGGAGACAAGCATTATAATATGACAGAGAGAAGAATTTAATGTCTGGATAGGACCTACAAAGAAGAGCTAGAAGCATTTCCTTCATTTTCGGAAGTGTTTTCATGAAAGTGAGACAGTACCAAAGCACTCCTGAAAGAGGATATGTAAAGTCAGGACAATCCACTACAGGGTCATTGTTTCACCTCCTAAATGTCATAGGAAATGGCCCATCTTGCTTTCCACTCTCCCAGTTCTCCACATGTATGTGCACAATAAGAACTAATTAATTTCTAAATGCTCAACATGCAAATGTGTGGCTGCCATCACCTGAAGTGAAAACAATACTGGAAGAAGTGACCAAAATTTCTGATGATGAGCAGAAACTGAAGAAATGTGCATAGAATGTGCAATCCAGAAAGGAGTAAAGAATAGAATGATAATTTAGATTCAAATAAAGGATAAAATTACTGCAATCAATTTATATTATATTTTCCATCACCATTTATCCTTACACATGCTTGCAATTGGAAAGGTATGTTGTTAAAACTGGAAAAAAAGAGGTACATTGAACAATTCTTTTTCTTAAAGCACAGCATCCACTATACTATCTGAAAATCCCTGAAAAGGGGCTGTTCAAAAACATTACAATAAGAATACTACAACACTAGAAATTAGTACTATACATAGTTCAACATACTTCTAAAATAACACATGACCAAAGTAACAATCTGACTGTTCAAAAAAGGAGCAGTGCTCCCTTTGACTTTGACAGAACACAGAGACTCTATGAGGTACGAATGCCCCAGGACACACAACTTCATGTAGTGAGGGTAAAATTATCTAGAACTTAAAGGCACTAATGACAGGAAAGTTTCTTGAAAACAAAAAGTAGACAGACACTGAACATCTCCCCCTTACATCTGCTGCCAAGGATGATGGGATGCTCAAGGAGGCTAACCATGAAGTCATGATCTAATAATTGTTGCCAAAATGAAGTTGAACACTTAGGTTAACTAGACAAGTAGATTAATTTTTTATTTTTTTTCAGATGACTGTAAAAGCCTTGGTTTGCACTGGTGACATACAGAACATTCTGCTTCAGAATTGTACACCATACATACAAAAAGTAAACAGTGAAAGCATCCTTTATTGTGTCACACTGTGGATTTACTTAAATGCAGGGGTGAGTAGAGCAGGATGATATTTCAGTCAAATTTTTCTCTAGTCAAATTATCTGTGAGTGAATATTGGAAGAGAAACACAAGTAAAATAATGATCCAAAGCTGAAAATGTGACCTAAGGCTAATTTTAAAAAAGTATTTTGCCAATCATGACATTTTTCTCCTATAAACAAAATAACGGTGTAATGATACGGCAATAGCATTTTGGGGCATGAAAACATCTACATATTAAGACAATGTGGTTATTAAAAATGCTTCAGAGAAGCAAGTCCACACATAACTTTCTTTTTTCTAAGTAAGCATCAAAATTCATTCTTCTCTAAGTAAAGCCAGTATTTAGCCCAGAGCAGAAAAACTGAACTCCACAAGTCTCCTAATGAAGGATATTTACCAGAACAAAAAAACTTAAAAAATAAAATTAAAATGCTACTGAAAGTGCTAGTTCCAGTTTTAAACAATGAATTTAGTACTAACTCTGATTTTGCACCTCACAGTTAGCAGTATTTACTCTATGATTCAGTGAAGAGAGAGAATGCAGTTTGGGAATTATTATCTCCATTAAGAAGCCATTGGAAAAGAGGGAAGACCATCTACATGCCCTGCTAAAATAGCCATAATGTAATAAAACCAAAACCAAAATACATTATGCTGCATATTTCTGAGCACACAGCCATAACAGACAGTGCTGACAGCTCTGTAATCAGGTATAGGTCACAAATTTTTGATCGCTGAGTCTACATTCCTCCCACTGATCCATTTCCTGAAGATCTAAATGCAAGACAAATTGTAAATTGTTGGTTTATTTGGGTTTGGGGGTTTTTTAGAATACAAACAATAAGTAAAGATAGATTCTGTTCTTCAAAATGCGCAAGTAATGTCCAAATCTAGGTAGTATTCAGCACATGCTAAAAGCCTTGAAGTTTGCTACCTTTAACATCATCAGCTTTGCTGGCGAGGCAAATATCCAGAAATAGGATTAAAGTGGATGAGTACTTATATTCTAGTTTTGATAGGCCTTATTTCCCAGGCCTGAAAAAGCAGTCTTCTCAGCTTCTGGAAAATAAGGACTTGGCTTTTTTAATACTGCACTTAAGTAATTGCAGACAGAAGCACAGCTAGACCATGTGAACCCTATGTGAATCCTGAGGAAAACCACAGTAACATGAACTACCTGCATAATAATAGAGTAGGGAGTATATATCCTTTGAGTGGCTGTAAAAGGAGGGAACAAGTAATAGTAAAATGTATTTGATGCCAGGACCTTTTTCTCCATTTATCTGTATGCTCACAAGTACATCTACATATGGTAAAGAGTGACACACAGGACACATATAGAACAGACCTGGTAGCATAAATGTTTTTGTGAGCCTGAGAAAAAGGATATGGAAACAAAGGCTCTACTACTATACGCAGAACCCTTACAGAGCTGCCTTTACAGGAAATTCCCTCCCCATTCCCCTAGGTGGAAACTATAATATTTGAATCCAACTTCCCAAAGAGAGCAAATGCAGTTAGATAAATTTGTGGAAAATTAGAAATAAGACAATTTGGCTGTTTGGAAAGAATCTCCCTTCTTAATGTGTTTAGCTAACAGGAAGAGCAGACAATTCACTTAATTTAGGTTACTTATCCACTCCACCCTTACACCCCCCAGCCCTCCCCAATAAAACAGTCTTTAACGAAAACGAATAGTACCCCAACCTTTTAGCAAGCCCACACATTTTATATGCATTATTTGGGAAGAGTATTAATCACTGTTCATAACAGAATCCCTTATGTTGAGTGAGGAATAAGAAGTTTTATCAGGATTTTTTAGACTTTCATTTAACTCCATTCATCTTGTGACAACCATGGCACCTAATATTTTTGTGATACAATGTCATTAAGATATAACACTATTCTAATGTTCCCATGGAAACTAGTAGCATATTTCATAGTAGATAACTACTTGACTATTACAGACTTTCTCCTTGCATTTTTAAAAAAATATATTAAAAGCAATATACAATAAGAAATAAATGTATCTCCTTTAAATGTGCCTCAGAAGTTGTACAACATCAGTGACCTTACCTTTTTTTGAAGGACATTAATTTTTCTTTCTTTTACTTCCAACATGTCTTTCATGTCTCGAATTTCTCCAGCAAGTGTTCCTTTCTCTTCGGTGAGGTCTTGAAGTTGTTTTGTTTTTTTATTCAGAAAGGTTTCTTTTTCTTCCAATCTTAACCGCAAGGCATCAACCTACAGGATGTAAATCACACATATTTAGGTTTTAGAATACCTCATTAGCAAATTTTGTTCATTTTTTTCTAATTCTCTTTTTTTTTCACACTTAAGAAATTGGACTGAGATTCTTTGTTGTTGTTTTACCTGTTACACTTTTCCCCAGTGAGTATTGCACAACTCCTTTAACAAGTGGGTCTGACTGTGCTTCTCTGTAGTAAGCACAAACCCCTGTCAAATAAAACAAGGGATATTCCAAGGATTTTCCTAAGCAGAAACATCATAATAAAGAACCTCACCAAAATGCTCTGCATACACAACTGCTGTTTTCTTTTAGAAATGCTAAAATGAAAAAACAAAAATAACAAGAATCCTAACAGCCCAGAAGGTGTAAGCAGCCTTGATTTCTTATTTCTTGCTGTGTAAATGCTCAAGTATGCAATTTTATTGTTCTCTTATTGTAATTCAAATAGTTCTCAAATTACAGTGAGGTAAATACTTCTTGTTGGTCTAGAAAAAAAAATCCATAGATCACTTGATACTGGTTACCATTTATATACTGTTGTTTCTATAAGCGACTCTACTGCTAACTGCAATTAAAAGCTTGGGTACTCATAAAAGCATTTGGAAAAAAGGAGGTCACACAAAAAATAGGGGAAGAAACTAAAAGCTAGACAGGAAAGCAACTTTTTTTCAAGTGGATTTAACAATCCTGCTTCACAGTTTCGAATTCCTAGTACCCTTTTTAAGAATACTTTACATAAGCACTGCCTAGAGTAGTCACCAGGAGGTAAGGTATGATTCCAAAAGGAAAAGGTGTTAGTCTTTCCTCTGTGAAGAGGTGAGGAAACAATTACTGGCAGGATGCTCACTGATACAATCTTGAAGACCTTCCAATATACTATTCACTTTATTATATAGGCTTTCAAGAACTTTCAAAAAAGGAATTTGAAGTGAAAGATCTTGCCACAGCTTCCTTAAATTAAATGCAACAATGAAAGGGAATAAAGCAAATACTTAAGTGGTCTTATAATCATGTGATGGTGAAGTGGAGGTGAAACCATGAGGTGAAATTGCAAGTGAAAAGTAGAGCTGGAAAATGAAGTTTTGCAAGTTTGAATGGTGCAGCTTTTTATATATCAAAGAACAAAAAAAAATTTATAATCAATACTGTAATAACTCAAGAACACAAACATTCTGACTGTAGATGTAGGAGTTCAAAATATGATGCATGTAATCTTTGCTGACATGGATAATTAAAAAAATTAAAATTATATATTTCACTGAAATACAAAGAACAAACAACACTATTACTACAAGAATTGTGGTGGCTTTTTTTTTTTCAAAGTGTCTGGAAGGGTTGGCAAAGTTGAATAGACAAATAAAGAAGAATTTTAGAGGGAAGAAAAAACATAAAAAGCCCAGAAATTAAACTGAATTAGAATGTATCTCTCTAGTTTAAAATGTTTGGCAATTTCTTTGTCTAACCTTCATTATGCTCATGGGGTAGAGGGTAGAACTCTAATGCCAAGTACAAATTTATCCATCATGTAAATTCTACTCTTATTTCTTTTCTACTTAAAGGTATTTTTGAAATAAAATAATAGATATCTTAATTTGCTAAAGAAACAGAATTTGTTTGGGATTAATATCACTACTGCAAGAATCACACCTTGCATTTTTCCCTTCAGTGAACACTTCCACATTCTGGTTCAGAAATGCAGTTACAAATGAATTGCTGAGCAGCTCTAGCATAGAATCCTGGAGGTGGATATTTGGGGGTAAAAAACAGATTTCATCATACACCAAGTTTTAAAAACCAAGAGAGTCACTATTTTTTCCCAGTGTGAGCCTCATATTATTGAAAGCTGATTTTTTAATAAAATGACATCAGAAAATGTAGTATACCCATGAAATTCAGTCAGTGCTATTAAATATCATGCAAAGTTGAGAATTAAGATAAAAAGGGAGTGCAATCATTTACTATTACAAAGACAAGATTCCTTGAATGTAGGATGCTTCTGCAGCTCTGAACCATGAGGTGTTCACATAAAGTGGACCCACACACACACTTGTTTTGGCTCCAAGATAGGCCTTTGAGAAGAGGTTTGGATTGAAAATATATAATGTGGCAATCTAGAATAATTCTCCATCTACAAGAGAGTTGCAGGAAGTCAGGCAAGTGAGAAATTTTAGAATCATTAAGCCAAATTTCAAAAATGTTAGAAAATAAAAAACAAGAGTTTAAAGTTTATATTACCTAGAAATTCATAAGGCTACTTCATAATAAAAAGCTAGATGGAAGTAACTGAAAGGCCATAAATGTTGGCTTAGCATCTTTAAGCTCTGCAGTTGGAATAGTCAGAAAGGGTCTTATCTATTAAGCATCTTTCCCCCAGTTAATCAGAATATTAGCAAAGTACAAAACAATCAGCAAATCTATATTTATTTATATTCTGAGTTTTGTAATGCTAAATTTATTCAAAGTAAAAGTCTTTGCAATGCCATTTTAAAACTTGGTTTGGGACCAATTTAGATGATCTATTGGATCTCAAAATGCTTGTTCTTCCTGCTCTTAAAATGGCTCATTGCCTTTCTATACACTGGAAAAACAGATTTATATTCTACTGGATTCATTTTACTTTAAAGACTTTTGTAAAAAATATTACAGTAACAGGATTTCTCAGTTTTTAAGCAGTGTGTGCAGCATGGGATTCAAAGATGACATTTCAAATTAGAAAGCAAGAAATAGTAGTAGCAGCAAAATTTCAGACATCTTTTAATAAACATAAAAGACCTCATCTGAAACTCATTACCACATCTTCTTTATACCTAATCACTTATTTGCTTCACGTCTGAAAGCAATCCCTTAAGTCAAATCACAAAAATCTCTGTTGGGCCTTTAAGCTGCAGCTGAGAAGCTCGTCATAACACTGCAGCAGGAGCTCCAAAAGTGGCTCTCTTCAGTCAGGCACTGCAAGGCTCATTTTCCAACTGCCACGAGGCAGAAGCTTAATGCTTGAAGTCAAAGGGAGTTGAAGATGATTAGACCCACGGATAAACAAAGCACTAATACTGTTCCCCATTGACCAGGATAACACAGTAGCTTACACATGTGCTGATACAGTTCAGTTCTGCTTGGCTGAGCCAGGCAGTTTCTGAGTCAATAGCCTTTTCTTCTCTACCCATTCAGTCCCCACCACAAGGGCCAAGGAGACAATTCGCATTCTTTTTCACAAATTTCTTTCCACATGCCCTGTCATCATGGCTCACTAGATTCAGCTCAGAAATGGGGATTTTCGGCATTAAAACTTGGGAGCGCAAGGAGGAGGGTTAAGAGGATGAGTAAATGGCTCTGAATTTCCTGTTTGAGTGACAAATGGTGTGGGAAATGGGAGCAGAGCCCTGTCCACTCCAGTTTCTCAGACTCAAATCCTACCTTCACAGCAGCTGTTAATTAAAGAGCATCACATGACTAAACCTTTCTGCTCTTCCTCTCACCGCCAGCCAGCTCATAACATGACTAACACATAATTTCTAGTCCCTAAACAAACAAATTCAGCCTGGAGGGACGAGAGAAGGTGTGCAGTGGTTTTCTTTCACGCCGGAAAGAAACACACGTGGAACTCTACAGCAGAGCCACAATCTCCATCTTTCCTTTCACTGGTTAGCATTCAGGGCACCCACAGAAAAACCTTTACATAAGCTCAAGGGTTATGACCTTGACTGTACCACAGAGTACCAGGTACCTAGTTTTTCAGGGTTGTCTGGACTGACTCTAAATGCAGAAATAGATTGTTTTCTTGTTAATGTCATAAATAGATTACCCCTCACACCTTCATATAAACAGTTCACACCTTAGATCAATTTTTTGTAAGCTCCGTGGTAGCTTTCTAACAACTATTAACAAACACTTCTATGTTTGAGATGAATTGCATTCTTCCATAAGCTGCATATGATCTTAAGGTCTGAATATGTTCAGATATAAGGGGTATAATTTCTGCCTACAACTCCAGTCCCCACAAGCGATTGTTCTTAATTTAAGTCTATAGTGATTTTCATTTAAGAATTCATTTCTAATCTTGGTAGCTTCAAATAAAAACCATTAAAGCATGATCAAGTGCAGCTTCAATTGCACTGAGAAACAGCCAAAGAATCTTGATGCCACCAACTCCAGTTCATACAAGGACAGCGCAAGCATTGAGAAGGAAAGAGTACACCACGTCCACCACAGCCTTGGGTGGCAGAAAAAAAGATCTGTCAAATACGTATCTATTTTCTTACAGCTCCTTGTTGTGAGACTGATGCAGCACAGAACCTTAATTCAAAAATCCTCCTACACAAAGAAGCCCAGGTATTTTGACAGAATAGGTGTATCAACCCCCAAGCTAACATTCACAGCAAGGAACCATACTGAAAGCAGTGCTCTACATGAGTTTTCACAGGCAGAACTCTGAGTCCATGCCAGTCTGGGAGAGTGAAAAGCAATTCATACTGTGTGTGGTCCTGGGTATACAGATTTATTTTCTATTCACAGGAATGCAATGTGGAGGTTTGAAAGAACATCAGTTATGTCAGTCATTTTCTCCTTCCCTAAATTCTTCTTTCTGCCTCTAGTAATCATGAACCAAGACTTTTACATTATTCATAATATGAAATAAAACTACCTCAGTCTGAACTGCATGTGACCTTTTACTATCTATTCAGTGCTAAGCATGTATGACATCATTTCATAAGACAAATATGAACCTCCAGATGGTATAAAACCAAAGAGCTGTTAAATCAGTTCTTCATCTCATGGAAGGCAAGCAGCAAAATATACTACTTCATTTGTAGCCAGGATGAATTTGCCAATACCAGAAATTATCTCTTCCCTGAAAATGGTACTGTGAAATCCCATCTCCCAAAAATAATGAAACAATGAAGTAGTCTAGATGGAGCATGCCAGTACACTATGAGAAGTGTCTGCCATTTTGTTACTCTTTCTTTTACATCTAAGGCATTTGAAATACAATCTG